CATAATACATGTAATAAACAAAAGGTGCTTCTCACTGGGCTTACATAGGAATGCAGCAGCCAGCAGTATATAATCTGGGGGGTGGACATAGGAGACTCGAATGCTGAACATAGGCAAGAGACCAGGGAACCAGATAGTATTTAACTGAGTCCTATAAAAAAAAAGCACATAATGCCACCAGCAAATAATATAGGTGAGGAACTGGTATAGAGGGTCAGTAGTAGCCTTCACTATTTCCCAGTACAGGTATCCTTTAAGACTGGTTTCCTTCAAAGTGTACCTATGATGGCGTTAGCCCCAGGGTGCTAAGGGCATGTGCAGAGCAGCTGGGAGTGTCCTTCATGGTCTCTTTAACCTGAGCCTGAGTCTATGAAAGGTACCTGTGTTGTGCAAAACATCTTTCCTTGTTCCTGTGCTGAAGATACTGCGTTCTTGTGGCTGTAAGAATTGCAAGACAAGTGTCTTTGACCTCCCACATTATGAAGACCTTGGAGAGGCTTGCTTTGCATTAGTTATGGCCCATGGTTAGTAAATATTTAGACCCTTTGATGTTTGCCTACCAGCAAAGACTGGAAGTTGAGGACGCTTTCGTCTTCATGCTAAATCTCATGTATTTACATCTGGATAAGCCAGCAAGCACTGTGAGGGTCATGTTTTTTTTACTTCTCCAGTGTTTTTGATACTATCAGGCCAGGGAAAGAAGTTAGCAGCAATACGGTTGATGCTTCCCTTGTGTCATGGATTGTAGGCTACCTGATAGGAAGACCAGAGTAGGTGCATTGCAAGACTTTGTGTCAGATAAGGTGATCAGCAATATTGGGGTTCCACCTCTCTCTCTCTCTTTCTTTTTACTGTCTATACCACTGATTTCAGCTACCAGAGTCTTGCCATCTTCAGAGGTTTTCTGATGACTCTGCGGTAGTGGGATGTATCAGGGATGGGAAAGAGACTGACTATAGGATTGTGGTGGAAAACCTTGTCACATTGTGTGAGGAAATTCATCTGTATCTAAATGTGACTAAGATAAAGCTGACTGTGGATTTGAGAAGGCAGAGGAAGGCCCCGGTGACCCCTGTCTCCTTCCGAATAGTGGATGTAGTAAAGAATTACAAGTATCTGGGGGTGTACATAGATAACATGCTGGACTGGAGAAAGAACACTGAGACGCTCAATAGGAAGAGCCAGAGTCACCTTTATTTTTTAAGCTGAGGTCTATTAACATCTGCCTGACGATCCTGAAGATTTTTTTTTTTTACTCTGTGATGGCCATTGCTCTCCTGTATGCTGTGACTTGCTGGGGAAGCAGGCTTAGCTGCATGGCTGACACCAACAGACTCAATAGATTGATTCACAAGGCCAGTGAAGTTGTTGGATTGAAGTTGGAATCTTTAAACACAGTGTTGGACAGGAGAATGTTGTTCAAGGTACGTTAAATCATGGACAACTCCTCCCACCCACTCCACAATACGCTGGTCAGTCTGCGGTGTACCATCAATGACAGATTGTTACGACCATGATACACCACAGAGTGGCACAAAAAATTATTTTTTGCCCATGGAAATCAAATTTTATAATTCTTCTCTGTGAGTGCTGAATGTGAGGATTTAATCTGGTTTTTGATCTGGATTTGTATGTGGTTTTTACGGTATGTTGGGTAATGCTAGAGAAAGTGGTGTAATGTTTGCTTTTTGGTAGTTTGATTTTTTTGTTATTATTCAAACTGTGTTATTTATTCTGTGTAATATTTTAATAGGATGGATGGTTTATTAATGTAAAGTTATAATTTACTTTTATTTGGTACTAATTGCTGTTATTGGTGTTTTATTTTGTCATTGTGTCTTGTTTCGGTTCGTTTTTGAGATCTTGTGTTGTCTTCGTTAAATGTAAATGTATCTTAATAATTTCCCTTTGGGATTAATAAAAGTATTCCGAATCTGAAAAAGCTTTGCTTATTAGAAAATTGGTGTTTTTGTATATCTGTCCTAGGAAAAATGTATTAATTAGTATAGTAGTTACCCTAATGTGCCATCTTGTTTTTTTGTTTTTTTTGTTAGAAATTTTTTTCTGAAAGTGATACCAGAGCCTGTCAAAATTCCCAACTTTTAGGGTATGGGTAGAGTAGGAATGCCTTTGTTGGTTCCTCCCGATGGTTCCCAGTGCTTGAAACACTTATCTCCAGGTCGCGCTGTCACCCTGAGTGACTAAGTGCAATGTGGCTCCATATCAAAGGGGCTTCCCTGTCTTTCACTTGCAAAAGCCTTTATGGTAAGGATACAGAATTCCAATTGTTTTTATACTAATCATCCATGTATGTATTCATCTATTTAGTCCAACTTTTGGTGGTTTCATGGGCCAGCTCTTTGGGCACCATGTATGAAATACTTGAGAGTCTTTTCAATAGACTTTTTCTACTGAACTTTTTATGTGGTAGGTCCCCAAACTCTTTCCTCAACCCTTGCCACAACCCTTGCCAATTGTTCAGGCCTTGGGACCATCATACAGACTATAATACACACATGCATAGCCAATTTGTATACACATATTAAGGCCAATTTAAAAAGGAGCCAATTAAACTACCAGCATGTCTTTGAAATATGGGGGAAAACCAGAGTACCTAGATAAATTCCACACACACAGGGCAAACAAGCTCACTCCATTCAGGAAGTGTCATGGTGGAGATTCGAGCCAAGGACCCCATTGTTGCAAGGTGGACATTCTGTATATACTTTCATTTATTCAAATGTATTTGCAAAGTGGTATTGCTACCTTCACTCACTACGTGGCATGCTACTGCTGGACCCCACTGTTTCTGTGACCCATAGTGGTATTATAGTCTGTATAGCAATTCTGCTAGGGTAGGGATCAACAAATCCCAGGTGCCAGGTTGCCATGGTGACTAGAAATTGCATCCTGGCACATGGGCTTTTGTCAGACCATTCACTGTTCTGCGCCCACCGTCCCAACTCCTGAGTGTGCTGTGCATTCACTCTGAGCATCAGCCTGAGCACTCCTTGACTGCACTACTCCTGTCCTGAGCTGCCCGCTCTGCTACCGTTTTCTTTGTTTGGCTAGCAGCAGCAGGTGGTGGGGCATCGGTGTCACAAGGCTGGTGGTTCAGTCAAACTGAGAAAAGGATCTCATCTTGCATCACTAAGCTGGAATTGGAGCTTAGTTGGTCAGTGGCGGCAAAGAGGAAGGGGGGAGCTAATGTAGACCTGCCTGTCTATTGAATGTATAGGTGCTGTTGCACAAATCTTATACCTGTGATCTGAGCTGATATTTTTGGGCTGTCTCTTTGGTGGAGGGGCTGTATTCTTGCTATACTGGGATGTCTCTTTGCTAGATGGGATGTCTCTATGCTGGATTGGGCTGTCTATTTGCTATATGGGGCTGTCTCTTTTCTGTATTGGGCTGTCTCTTTGCTGAATTAGACTGTCTCTTTTCTGGATGGGATGTCTATTTTAAGGATTAGGCTGTCTCTTTGCTGGATTGGGATGTCTCTTTGCTGGATCAGACTGCCTATTTGGTGGATTGGGTTGTCTCTTTGCTATATGAGGATTTCTCTTTACTGGATGGGCTGTCTCATTGCTGGATAGGGATGTCTCTTTGCTATATTAGGTTATCTCTTTGCTGGATTGAGCTATCTCTTTTCTGGATATACAGAGCTGGCTCAGGAGTGAGAACACACTAGTGCCCCTAGAGCAAGAAGCTTGCTCCGGGGGCACACTGAAAGGAGGAGGTGCCAGAAACACCAGCAGGAAACCTGAGAAGAGGAGGACTGGGGCTGCTCTGTGCAAAACCATTGCACAAAGCAGGTAAGTATAGTGGGTTTATTATTTTTAAAAATCAAACCTTTAGAACCACTTTAGAACTAATAGATTCAAGGCTTCCAGGAGTGTTGGATGTCTGATTTAGCACTGCGTGTCATGCTTCCTTTCTCTGACCCCCTACATCACTACAGGATCCAGAAGTGATCTAGGGTTTGGAAGATGAAACCATAGGCCATGGCTGGGGACGCAGACATCTATTAGATGTGTTGATACATATCCAGCAGCACTTGAACGAAGCAAAAGCAAGAGACCTGGACGAGTATAAAAGCTCTTCATGTGCAAGGCAACTTTATTTCCATTTTTTTCCACCCTGACAGGGTTGCTTTAAAGATACATATTTTTTATTGCGCAGATGAAATTCACACATACTGTACATGAAAGGGAAAAAAGGACAGTATACATTACTTATAACAAATGTGATGGAGACATAGAACACGGCCATGTAGAATATGAATATGATATGAATCCACATATGAATTTCAATATGTTTTGATAAGCACATAGGGCTGGCTGGATCTTCATCATATTTTTACTTCAATTGCCTGTCAGTAAGGATTTCTCTTGCAGTAACCTTCACAGCGGTGTTTCAGCTCCGCTGGAGACAGTAGAGGGGGGTCATATACAACTATACCCTGTGCGTGAAGATAGTGAGAGCTGTATGGAGCATAAAATAATCTGACCAAGATGAATGTGCCTCTGCTTCCCCTGGCATGTACTGTTCACAGAAACATGTACAGAATATTTGCAAAAAAGACTGAAAACATCATTTTATGCAAATAAATTCTAACAGAAAAAAAAAAAAGGAAAAGCTGATCAGGCTCTAAGGAAAGTAAACATTTCTTCAAGGAGAACCAGTTATACAAATATTTAAAGTATTACTGAACCACAAACCCTGCATTCTGTGTACTGTGGATGACCAGATATAGTGAATGCAGAGTCTGGGGAGACCAAATATAGTGAACGCAGGGTACGGGGAGACAAGATATAGTGAATACAGGGTACGGGGGAGACAAGATATAGTGAACACAGGGCCCAGGGAGGCCAGATATAGTGAATACAGGGTCAGGGGAGACAAGATATAGTGAATGCAGGGTCCAGGGAGACCAGATATAGTGAATGCAGGGTCCGGGGGAGACCAAAATATAGTGAATGCAGGGTCCAGGGAGACAAGATATAGTGAATGCAGGGTCCGGGTAGACCAGATATAGTGAATGCAGGGTCCAGGGGAGACCAGATATAGTGAATGCAGGGTCCGGGAGAGACCAGGGTATAGTGAATGCAGGGTCCAGGGTATATTTAGTAACCAATTTATAGTGAACCTGCAGGGTGTATGACCAGATATAGTGAATGCAGGGTGGGGAGACCAGCACAGACTGAGCGCAGGGTCCAGGAGACCAGATATAGTGAATGCAGGGTCAGGGAGACCAGACAGAGTGAATGCAGGGTCCAGGGAGACCAGATATAGTGAATGCAGGGTCCAGGAAGACCAGGTATAGTGAATGCAGGGTCCTGGGAGACCAGATATTGTGAATGCAGGGTCCAGGGAGACAAGATATAGTGAATGCAGGGTCCAGGGAGACCAGATATAGTGCATGTCGGGTCCTGGGAGACCGGATATAGTGAATGCAGGATCCGGGGAGACCAGATATAGTGAATGCAGGGTCCGGGTAGACACGATATAGTGATTGCAGGGACCGGGGATACCAAATACAGTGAATGCAGGGTCCGAGGAGACCAGATATAGTGAATGCAGGGTCAGAGAAGACCAGATATAGTGAATGCAGGGTCCTGGGAGACCAGATATAGTGAATGCAGGGTCCTGGGGAGACCAGATATAGTGAATGCAGGGTCCGGGGAGACCAGATATAGTGAATGCAGGGTCCTGGGAGACCAGATATAGTGAATGCAGGGTCCGGGGAGACTAGATATAGTGAATGCAGGGTCTGGAGAGACCATATATAGTGAATGCAGGGTCCTGGGAGACTAGATATAGTGAATGCAGGGTCCGGGGAGACCAGATATAGTGAATGCAGGGTCCTGGGAGACCAGATATAGTGAATGCAGGGTCCGGGAGACCAAGATATAGTGAATGCAGGGTCAGGGGGAGACCATATATAGTGAATGCAGGGTCCTGGGAGACCAGATATAGTGAATGCAGGGTCCGGGGAGACCAGATATAGTGAATGCAGGGTCCTGGGAGACCAGATATAGTGAATGCAGGGTCCGGGGAGACAAGATATAGTGAATGCAGGGTCAGGGGAGACCAGATATAGTGAATGCAGGGTCCGGGGAGGCAAGATATAGTAATGCAGGGTCTGCGGAGACCAGATATAGTGAATGCAGGGCCCAGGGAGACCAGATATAGTGAATGCAGGGTCAGGGGAGACAAAATATAGTGAATGCAGGGTCCAGGGAGACCAGATATAGTGAATGCAGGGTCAGGGTAGACCAAATATAGTGAATGCAGAGTCCAGACAGACCAGATATAGTGAATGCAGGGTCCTGGGGAGACCAGGTAGAGTGAATGCAGGGTCCGGGAGACCATATATAGTGAATGCAGGGTCCTGGAGACCAGATATAGTGAATGCAGGGTCAGGGGAGACCAGATATAGTGAATGCAGGGTCCAGGGAGACCAGATATAGTGAATGCAGGGTCCTGGGAGACCAGGTATAGTGAATGCAGGGTCCGGGGAGACCAGATATTGTGAATGCAGGGTCCAGGGAGACAAGATATAGTGAATTCAGGGTCCGGGAGACCAGATATAGTGCATGTCGGGTCCTGGGAGACCGGATATAGTGAATGCAGGGTCCGGGGAGACCAGATATAGTGAATGCAGTGTCCGGGTAGACACGATATAGTGATTGCAGGGACCGGGGATACCGAATACAGTGAATGCAGGGTCCGAGGAGACCAGATATAGTGAATGCAGGGTCAGAGAAGACCAGATATAGTGAATGCAGGGTCCTGGGAGACCGGATATAGTGAATGCAGGGTCCTGGGAGACCAGATATAGTGAATGCAGGGTCCAGGAGACCAGATATAGTGAATGCAGGGTCCTGGGAGACCAGATATAGCGAATGCAGGGTCCGGGGAGACTAGATATAGTGAATGCAGGGTCTGGAGAGACCAGATATAGTGAATGCAGGGTCCTGGGAGACCAGATATAGTGAATGCAGGGTCCGGGGAGACAAGATATAGTGAATGCAGGGTCCTGGGAGACTAGATATAGTGAATGCAGGGTCTGGAGAGAGCATATATAGTGAATGCAGGGTCCTGGGAGACCAGATATAGTGAATGCAGGGTCCGGGAGACAAGATATAGTGAATGCAGGGTCCTGGGAGACCAGATATAGTGAATGCAGGGTCCGGGGAGACCAGATATAGTGAATGCAGGGTCCGGAGAGACCAGATATAGTGAATGCAGGGTCCGGGAGACCATATATAGTGAATGCAGGGTCCTGGAGACCAGATATAGTGAATTCAGGGTCCGGGGACCAGACATAGTGAATGCAGGGTCCTGGGAGACCAGATATAGTGAATGCAGGGTCCAGGGAGACCGGATATAGTGAATGCAGGGTCCAGGGAGACCAGATATAGTGAATGCAGGGTCCAGGAAGACCGGATATAGTGAATGCAGGGTCCGGGGAGACCAGATATAGTGAATGCAGGGTCCGGGGAGACCAGATATAGTGAATGCAGGGTCTGGGAGACCAGATATAGTGAATGCAGGGTCCGGGGGAGACCAGATATAGTGAATGCAGGGTCCAGGGAGACAAGATATAGTGAATGCAGGGTCCGGGGAGACCAGATATAGTGAATGCAGGGTCCGGGGGAGACCAGATATAGTGAATGCAGGGTCCGGGAGACCAGACATAGTGAATGCAGGGTCCTGGGAGACCAGATATAGTGAATGCAGGGTCCAGGGAGACCAGATATAGTGAATGCAGGGTCCAGGGAGACCAGATATAGTGAATGCAGGGTCCTGGGAGACCAGATATAGTGAATGCAGGGTCCAGGGAGACCGGATATAGTGAATGCAGGGTCCGGGGAGACCAGATATAGTGAATGCAGGGTCTGGGAAGACCAGATATAGTGAATGCAGGGTCCGGGGGGAGACCAGATATAGTGAATGCAGGGTCCAGGGAGACAAGATATAGTGAATGCAGGGTCCGGGGAGACCAGATATAGTGAATGCAGGGTCCGGGGGAGACCAGATATAGTGAATGCAGGGTCCGGGGAGACCAGATATAGTGAATGCAGGGTCCTGGGTTTAGTAACAATTTAACACACCTGTATTGTATGTGATGAGGCTGAAGGACCAGCCACAGACTGGAGCGCAGGATGGAGAGAAGGAGAGTGCTGAAGCTGGCCTGAGCAAAGGAATAAGGTAAGTAATGCAGCGATCTCATCTCCTCTTGAACCTAATGAACATTTAATCCTTGCGGAGTGAACGGCCAGCCCCAGTGAAGGTAATGGGCAGCTACTGGATCCTGCAGCTAATTGCAGCCGCTCGCATGTAATCACTATGAGGCAATTACCTGAGATTGATTGGTCCTGGATGCAGACTGTGCTACACATCCTAAAGAAAACCTTGATTCACAAGCGTTAGTTACATGGCTGTCATACTGAGCTTCTAGCATCAATACAGCATATTTTTAACAAGTCAATGATTCTAAATCTACTGCTTACACATTTCTCTCTTTTACAGGTTTCCTTTAAATCACTCTGAGCAATTAATGTAGGGCCGTTCCTCCAGGATTTTTCTTCATTTGCTAAAAATTGGAGTGAGCAGAAAGGAATGAACTTTGCTTTTACGTTACCCCTGTTGAAGCCAAGGTTATAATTGGTATAGCCAGCTGGACTTCGTAAAGACTCCATAAAGACGTGGTTTAACAAGTTTTATATTGAGAAGGCCTGCACAGAGCTCTGACCTCAACCCTATTGAATGCCTTCAGGAAAATTGAAATGTGAGCTACGTCTTATCATCCAACATGACTACCTGATCTCACACATAGAACTCACCCCCCAAAATGGTCCTCTGATTTGCCAAAGGCTCTTTTCCCAGTTTAGAGCAGGGTAAGGTGGCCCGCGATCAGTAGGGGGCCCCATGAGATGCTCCTGGTACCTTTGAGTTTGGGCAAGGACACAGGGGCCCCATGATCCCCTATTGCCCGGGGGGCCCCATGAGTTGTCAGTCCACCCCTGGTAGGGAGAAACAATCAAACCTGAAACCAGTAAAGCCCAGAACAGTCCAAAACAATCACTAACTGCTCTGCTGGCTACAGAGGACCTAAAATAACTTAATTTACTGAACCAACCTGGCAACCTATCTAATGAGGGTGCTACACACAAATGCTCTGAACGAGTACAACCTTCCACAGGCACCCTCCAAAACCTTGTAAAAAGCCTACCCACAAGAGTGGAGGCTGTTACAGCTAGCGATGAGTCGAATGTACCAGGGTTTGGTTTGTGAGAGGTTTTCTGAACCGCTCCTAAATTTGTATGTTAATCTGAATCCCATTGAAGTGAAAGGGAACCAAATCTTTAAACTTACTTTTGGCCATTTTCAAGGCTATTAGCCAATTTTTTCAGATCTATTCTGGCCATTATCAAGACAATGGAGTGCCAAATAAATAGCATGGGGTGCAGAGCTGGGTACAGACCTGGAGGACATGTACTAATGCAAAAAGAAAAAAAAAAAAATTTCCGTTCAACTGTAATCTGCAGTGCATTTGTAGAATGTACTACAGCTAAAGGAACATGCACAAATACATGTAAATACCATTTGCCTCTAAATGATTGTCTCCCTGTTGGATTTTTATTTTTTCATTTTTTGTTAAAAATGGCATGTTGATCCCCCAAATCAAACAAATGACATGAGTAGCTGAGCAATGCCCTAAGAGACCATCTTAAAAAAAATTCCATTCAGCTGCAAAAAGTTCAATTAAAAATGCTTAAAGTGGTTCTAAATGTTTTTTACCTTCATGCATTCTATGTATGAAGGTAAAAAACCTTTGTGCAGCATCCCCCCCAGACCCCCTAATACTCAACTAAGCGCACTCTATGTCAAGCGATGTGCACTGGAGTTCGGCTATCTCGGGACTCCCTCTCCTCATTGGCTGAGATAGAAGCGGGAGCCATTGGCTCCCACTGCTGTCAATCACAGCCACTGAGCCAATGAGAAGGGGCGGAGCTGGCATCCGGTTCCTTGTGTGAATGGACTCACAGAGCAGCAGGTGCCCCCATAGCAAGCTGCTTGCTATGGGGGCACCCAACAGGAGGTAGGGGCCAGGAGCGCTGGTAGGAGACCGGAGAAGAGGAGGATCTGAGCTACTCTGTACACAGCAGGTAAGTATAGACATGTTTATATTTACAAAAAAAAAAAACACCTTTAGAATCACTTTAATGTTTTCTTTTTTAAATAGCATTCCTGAGGATGCCCTAAACGTACCTGTGAAGGTGCACATTGGTACAATCTACACAGCCTACTACAGAAACATTGACATTTACAGAGAATATAAAATACCATTTAAATTGCCGGGTTGCAGGTTTTGTTGGGTTGTGGTTGAGCTCCCCTTATGTCCCCTTAAAGGAAAGATCACAGTATTACCAAACTCCAGTATTTAGATTGTTCCTTCCTGGTGACGTCATCAAGCTGCCCTCTGACGCATATTGGACACATTGAATTAAGTTTACATGCATATATTATGACAGAAGATATTGTTATTAGGTTCAATATGTGTCATTATGGGGGAGATTTACTAAAACTGGAGCACTCAGAATCTGGTGCAGCTGTCCATGGTAGCCAATCAGCTTCTAAGTTCAGCTTGTTCAATTAAACTTTGGTAAGAAAACCTGGAAGCTGATTGGGTTCTATATAGAGCGTCAGCGGATTTTTCACTCTCCAGTTATAGTAAATAACCCCCTATGAGTTTTTTAGGTGACGTTTATGATTTGATGTAGCACAACACTTTGACCAGAATTTATTTCAGTTGTTGATGTGAGAACATATTTGAGTGCCCTGCAGCAACACTTAGTAAATTGGGAGATTTCATAGGTTGTATAGTAGTGAATGCAGGGTCGGGACAAGGGGTGAGCGGAGGGGAAGCTGCCATAGGCACTGTGGTATCATGTGAGGTGGGGGGGGAGGGAACCACAAGGAGATTGGGGGAAGAAAATTTGCGTTAGGAGGGAAATTTTGGGAGGAGCATGGGGTAAGAATTGTACTAGGAGGGGGAATTTGGGGTGGTGCTAGGAGTAGTGATTTGGGGGGGGGAATTTGTGTTGGGGGAGAGAAATAGGATTTGTGCTAGAAGGAAGGACTGGGGGGTTTGTGCTAGAAAAGGTGATACGGTGTGTGTGTGTGGGGGGGGAATTTGTGCTAGGAGAGAATTTTTTTTTTCAGGTGGGAGAAATGGTACTACTAGGGATAATTGGCGGGTATTTATGCTGGGAAGGGAAATTGGGGTGGGGATTTGTGCTAGGGTGGGGTTCGGGGGAGGGGAATTTGTGCTGAGAGGGGGGATTTGGAGTGGAGAAGATGTGTGCTTGGAGGGGAAATTTGAAGGGTACAGGATTTGTGCAAGTAGGGGGACTTTTTGGGGGGAGGGGGAATAGGACTTGTGCTATAAGGGAGGATTCTGGGCGTTTGTGCTAGAAAAGTGATATGGTGTGGTGGTGGGGGGGATTTTGTGATATGAGGGGACATTTTTTTTTCAGGGGGGGATTTTACTAGTAGGGATAATTGGGGAGCATTTGTGCTAGGAGGGGAAATTGTAGGGGGGGAATTGTACTAGCTGGGATAATTGGGGAGTATTTGTGCTAGGAGGGGAAATTGTAGGAGGGGGGGTTGTACTAGTAGGGAAAATTGGGGCGGGATTTGTGCTAGGATGGGATTTGTGGGAGGGGAATTTGTTCTGGGAGGGGGGATTTGGAGTGGAGGGGAGGATTTGTGCTTGGAGCGGAAACTTGACGGTAAAATATTTGTGGAAGGAGGGGTACTTTTTTGGGGGGGGATTGTGCTGGGGCATATGGGGAGAGAGGATTTGAGCTGGAGGATGGGATGGGGCAAAAGAGTTGTGCTGGGAGGGGGATTTCATTTCAGTAAAGGGGGTGGATTTGTACTGGGAGGAGAGGGAATTTATACTTAGGGGGTTTGCATGCAGGTTAATGTTTGATTTTTTTAGGGGGGGGATTTGCATCTTGCGGAGGCACAGTTTGGCAGCTCCATATGACCGGCACTGAGTGTATAGTTTTATTGAAGGTTGTGCAGAGATTTTCACTTTCACTTTTGGCTAACAACGAATGACACCCACTAACCCATTGAAAGAAAAAATGGCAACTGCTTGGGTCGATCCGATCCCAACAGACTCCATGTCACACAGGGGCGGACTGACCATTCGGACACTCGGGCACTGCCCTAGGGCCCTTGGTCAGTAGGGGGCCCCATGAGATTCCCTTGGTACCTTTTATGGGTTTTTTTGGGTGTGGTTTGAGTGTGGGCAAGGACATGGGGACCCAGAGGTGGACTGACCATTAGGAAACTCAGGCACTGCCCGAGGGCCCGGTGTCAGTAGGGGGCCCCATGAGATTCCCCTGGTACCTTTCATAGGCTTTTTTGGGTGTGGTTTGAGTGTGGGCGAGGACATG